TGGATTTCAGCAAATTTGGCAATGATTTTGATATCACTGCATATATCTATAAACTTACCGAAATTTACCAAATGATCAAAATAGGAATATACACTTTGTTATAATGACATTTTCACCATTACGTTGGAATGACAAACATAATACATAAGAATTAGAATACAGGTGTAGCACATAATCTGGAAAAGATGGAATGAATCCATTAGATATTCAAGACTTATTTAGATTATTCGAACCCAGGTTTGTTTCTATTTAAAAGGGTACTCACAGTTATAATTTAGGTTACTAAAATAAGAGGCAAAGAATAAATTCCGTTGAAAATGATGGCTTTCATTAAAATAAATAGCTAAATAAACAGTTACAATGAACGGTCTGTTTTTGATGGAGGGACCCAAACCTTGTGAGGAAATTAGGAAACTATAAAATAATCTGTTATATGATGTAACAATCGGGTCTTAATGAATTTCATACCATTTTGACCATTTTGGACACCACAGAAATGACTGTATCATCTCCGGTTTGGTAAATTTCAGACGAACAAATCTGCTATAACGCCTGACAATGGTGACATCAACAACAGCAAACAGCGATTGCGCAATGATCGGTAATAACAGTCCGACTTATACGGGGCTTAAGTAAATACTTGCAATGGAGAACAACACGTGTCAGGTGGTATATTTGAATTTCACGATGTGTTATAATTTCAATTAGGTAATTGTACAATTCAAAATGCGATAAAATAATGTGGTAGCCACCATGTGGCGACATCTTTGTTGCTAACAGCATTGTTAAGGTGCACATTTCGCTCTTTTAAATAACTTATTTATTTCAAAAATAGATATTAAATCGGTTTCTTGGGTGACAAGTTTTGGGGTGATTTCTCCAACCATTTGTGGCGACATCTCCAGCCACTGTTTTTTTTGGGGGGGGGGCACCAGACAGATTCCCCTCCCATTTAACCTAAAAATATCTTTAAAAAAAGTTCATGTGTTTCTGTATATCCCTCCCCCGATATGTTGCTATGTTTCTATTTATAAAAGAATTTTGACCAACAAATTTATTTTCTACATTTTTTTTATGGGGTATTTATTTTCCCTAGTGTTTCTAAAGGTTCATTCATCCGATAGGGCTTCATTTTCCTTATCGGAATCATTTCCCTTATTTTGTTTGGTGACCTTGGTTAGAGGTCCCCTACGTCCTGTGAGTGCTATATGTTTGGTGCTCTTGTATGTTGCTATAATTTGTTGTCTTGTTAGGACAGCCTTCTATACCATATTTTCCCCAGTTGTCTATTTTTATTATATGCATCGGACTTTTTCATTCTCATCCTCCCCTTCTTCTTTCACTCCTTCTATTTATGCATATAATTTATTATCATTTCTTTGCATTTATTTAAATAATTTATTTTATTTAGATATAATTTTTGAAATGTTCTATTATCAGGTATTTAAATTAGTTAATAAAAAAAATTATCCTAGTGTTTTGTAGTGTGTGTATGTTATGTTCCGGCTTTCCTTTCTTCCTAACTTTATTGCTAGGGACATATGGTGCCGTTGTTGTTTTTTTGCACTCCATTTCCTTGCATTTATGTCCAAATTTCTAATAAAGGGTCCAAAAGATTCCAAATTTCTAATAAAGGGTCCAAAAGATTTATATAATTATAAGTCTACACATCGGGTTTTCTGAGGCTCTTCTGCAGGCATGCCCACTTTGCGTAACGCCATGTGATATAGCCCTACAACGTCCTGGTCTCGTACTTCTTCCATGTGTAAAGTTATCTATAAATATAGAGAAAAAAAAACATTAATAAATGTTCTAAAAAGTGAAAAAATACTTATGAAAACAAAGTTATTTTCTTATACTTATGACTTGTCCACATTTGTTCATTGTTGATATTATAAAACTTAATATTTTCATATAATCTGTTTTTTAATACTCTCCATCTAAATATAATACTTTCTCTACTTTAAACTCTCCATATATTTTTTATAATATTAATAATTTCATCTCTCAATTTTAATGGTTTGTCAATATAAGATTACATGTCTTTTTGAAAATTCATAATTTTTACACAGTGGACATCTTGGTATTTTTTTAATCATGTGCCTTCTTTTGGCAACATCTCTTGTCAACCAGGCATTATGTATATATTTAAAAATCAAACTCTGTATTTTTAGTGAATTTTTATTCCTTCATGCCTTCCAAATATTTCCCCAATTCACTCCCCATATTTCCATTTAAATCTTAAATCTTTTATTTTGTATCACTAATTTTCTTATTACTTTATACGTGGTCTAAAGCGCTGTCCGTTACGCATCACTGCCATCTCACCTCGGTCTGCGTGGGTTCGAGTCTAGGATTCGGCGAATGTGGATAGGTGAGAAAGCTTGCCAGTAGCTTCTCGTGGGTCGGTGGTTCTTTCCGGTGAATTATCGGTTTCTTCCTCCTTCTTCCTCCACCATTAATACTGGCCGCCATGAATAGCCTATCGTGTGCTGAAAAATGGCTTTAAGCCCAACAACAACAACAACTTTATACGCTTTTCTCCAAATACGTTGGGGCGAATTCTCTCAGAGCGAGTTTTCCATGGAGCGAGTTCTCCATATAACCCTGGCTAGTGCTGAAGTGATAGTAAAATTACCTGTAGAATAAGGATCTGCCTCGGACAAGTGCCCGGTCTATATTTCCCTAACTCAGTCCTGATTTGTTACTGGGGTCTCTTTGAACTGAAGTTTGCTTAATTTCTCTGGTACTGGTCAAATTTCTTTCTCCCGCGGGCAGGCAACTGCAGGGGTGCGAATAAACTATCTTCCGGTTATATCAGTTACTTTGTTTCTTTGAACCTATCCGCGGCTTTGTTCACTCTAAGATCGATTCAAGACGCAATCTTGCGCAACAAAGGTCAGTTGCCAAGGTTGTGGCGACCTACTGGTAAGTTGTATACATGAGGGCTGTTTTCACAACGTGACAAACGTCCACGTGAATTTTCCGCACAGTGGGTGCAGTCGCCCGTGATTGTAACTGTTTATGTTCTTGATGACCACGACCACGGTAATGACGACGATTTTAATGCTTGATAATAACGATAACTATTACAAAAACAATTCGTTGACGATATTATTGTGGAGGTTTTTCGTGCAAAATAATAGAAAACTTTATCGTTATTTCCATTTAAATTTGTATCCTTGTTCATTTTCTTACTTCCTTATTTTCATTCGTCCTCCCTATATCTCTTTGAAAGAAGACACTTTTAGCCTCGTTCTTCTCGATGCTTTCCAGAGAAAATGTCGGGACCCTTGCAAGCGTTAGTGCTTGCGCATGTAGAATGTTGTGAACACCTTTTAATGGTATGATTTAATGGTATGAAATGTGTTCACGAGTCGCGGTATTTATTAACTTAATGTAGTCAGACATCAAGGTTAGAAAGTGTGGGACGGAGATAGGAAAAAAAATATTGGACCATTTCAAGAAAGGCTTAAAATAAATGACAAAAGAACGTACCGACACCTGATCTTTATGGGCAAAAAGTGAGAAAAAATATATTTCGATACACTGCCATAGTACTTGTCTATTTTGACATACAAAATCAATTGACAAAAAGGTGAGGGCATACCACTTTTCTGGAAAGTGCTAATTATAATTTGTAATTATGCATTATTTACGCAAGTCTAACAAAATTTGCTTTCTATACTTGTTCAATTTTTTTTTTAGATATTCCCTTTATTTATTAGATTTTTTAAAAATTAATTTATCTCATGTGATGGATGGTGATTTTTTTATACTTAAAATTTATGTACCATTCACTCTATTACCGAAATAAAGTATAAGAGCAAAATTTAGCAATACACTGTCAGTCAACGGCTCCATCCCTTTAACTGTGACGAGGATGGTATACGTATATATTTTTTGAATATTCTGTTGGTATATATATATATATATATATATATATATATATATATATATATATATATATATATATATATATATATATATATATATATATATATATATATATATATATATATATATATATATATTACATTACACATTCTGATTTAAAAGTATGCTAAGGTAGCTATACCAATTACCCTACGTCTTACTGAATAATTCATAAAGGTGCCTTATTAGTTTACCTGAGTGTCAAACAAAGGCTCTAGCGCCGGAATAAGTAAGACGATAACTCTCCCATTTAGTGCCGAATTATATCGAATACAAGTCTCTCTCTCTCTCTCTCTCTCTCTCTCTCTCTCTCTCTCTCTCTCTCTCTCTCTCTCTCTCTCTCTCTCTCTCTCTCTCTCTCTCTCTCTCTCTCTCTCTCTCTCTCTCTCTCTCTCCTGCTACCTACATGATTGATGCCTTTCTTTCCGTCCGCTATAGATATTTTCTGATCTTTGTAGAAGATCTCTCAAACAATATTTAACAAAATAAAACTTGTTGCGTCCAAGTAACCTACACTATGTTTGTGTTGCAGCTAAATTCAACGTTCCGCCATTGAGGACCAGTCAGCGGTCAACTTATTCGCGTACGTGACTCAGTTGACAACTTAAAAGTTAGCTCCAGGCTCGATTAGATCATTGGCGTTGGTCAAACATTGTGCCTTCCCTCTTTGCAAAAAATCAAACAAAAAATACACCACCATGTAACATAACTTGGGAATTGGGGTCTCTTTCTTAAATAGCCCATGGGAAAGTATTTATTAACTTGCCTAGATGCCCTTTTACCAAAACGACACCATAAAATAGGACAACGCTTCTTACAACTCGACACATGGTACTAATGGTATGGACAAAGGGAACCAGCCTGGATATGGGTGAATATTTAATATAGTATATATGGGTTTGGGTGGCGAGGATTGGTTAATAATACAAGTTATATTTTAAGTAAAATGATCTTTTGAGAGCTTACCCTAGTTGTAAATGAAAAGGTAGATATTGTTTTATTGATGGAACTTCAGTCCTTTAACAATCTTGAGTTTGGTACACTCATTACTAAAATTAGCAACCGCTCTGGTGGCCTAAGTGGTTAGAGCGTCCGCCTCGGGTGCGGGAGGTCGTGGATTCGATCCCCGGCCGAGTAATACCAAAGACTTACAAAAATGGTACTAATAGCTACCTGGCTTGGCGCTCAGCATTAAGAGGTTAGTGTTAGGACTGGTTGGCCTGGTGACAGGATAATGTGACTGGGTGGGACATCATGCTACATGTCTGCGGCATGATGCCCCAGTGCTAGACCTCACTATAAACTGCCACCCTGCAAACATCGTAGCAATATGACTGAAAAATTGTTAAAGCTACGTTAAAAATCATAATCACATCACATCACTAAAATTAGCACCTGACTCTGGTGCGGAATTAAAAACACGTTTCAAACAAATGCAGCTCCAGAAAATGCCGCGGCTCATACCATTTCCGCAACACAGAAGTTGACATCCAGGTTTCATCTATACTGATAAATATAAGATGATCATTAGCATTCAGAAATTTTAAGTTATTGAATTTTTAATATTATTGTGTTTGCATATGTTTACTATGGGAACTGAATTTGTACCGCGATTCCTATAAACAGTGCCTGATTTAGGACAAATGAAGTCCTGTGCTAGTTAAGTTATGATGCCCCTTACTTTGGCCCGGTAGTCCTACACTGATAGTAAGGCAGACATACTCAGGAAATTTAGGAGTAGTAAAATTATTACGTGTTACCTGATCAATTATTTTTTTACAATGAAAAATTCAGCGTATTATTTTTAACAAGAAAATGCCCCACCCCAGGCCAACGGGACCATGTATTTAAGCACACGTTAGACAATGGTTAATCCATTACAGCCCATAAACCGCCTTACGTTTTTTGCGCGAATTAATACACAAGTATACTTGACTGGTTCCTACATTTTTGATCAAAGCAAGCATGAAATTTTATACTATTAGCGGCTCAGTGTGCGGTAGATTATGATGTTACTGCTATTTTGCGACATTTCATAATGCGTGATACATTTTATAACGATCGGTCCAAATACTCCTAATAAGGTGTTGAATATTTGTGACATTTTGCCACATTTACAACGCCATGGCACTCGTATTTTTTTCTTCCAACGATTACGAGGACCGTATAAAAAAGGAACTTTAGAGTGACACCTGCAAAAGGATGGCACATTCACTCGTCGTGTTTTGCCTTCTTTTTAAACGAATTGGCAAAAATAAATTAGAGATTTGTAGTCTTAGGCCAGCATATCAATTGTTGACTTAAACATATTTTGTTTGCACAATTGTAACGTAAATATAACTTAGATGCAGGAGGTCGTGGGTTCGATTCCCGGCCGAGTCATATCCAAAGACTTACAAAAATAGTGATATAGCAGATGCCTCGCTTGGCACTCAGCATTAAGAGGTTAGTGTTAGGACTGGGCTGCCTGGTGTCAGGATAATGGGACTGGTTAGGACATCATGCTACATGTCTGCAGCATGATGCCTCAGTGCTAGACACCACAATAAACTGTCACACTGCAGATATCGCAGTGATAGGACTGAAAAACTGTATGACATACACACACGCGCGCATGCGTAAATATAATTTAAAAGAAAACGAAAATTAGAGATAATGCAATAGTTGGCCGCTGCAAATCTCAGTAACTTTTACTGCATATTCCAACCTCTTGTACACTGTTATTCACCTCCACCACCAAAAACGAAATCCGTTACAATTATCAGTTGAATTAATGCTACCACAGCATATTTAATATTTGTCGGAAAATATTCAATACGTTAGGTTACGTTACGTTACGTTACAATTACGTCATTCACGCAACGGCTAATTTGGAAATTCGAGACTGAGCTGAAGTGACTATAGTTGGTAGCTTCACATCGGCGAGGTGCATAACTGTTTAAAAACAAATACATTTTATAATCTTTTATTAAGATGAGAGTTGGGAGTTGCATGCATTCGGACCACCTTGGCTATTTCGGTGAGACAAAAAATAAACCTCGGAAAATGTAGCAGTAATTAATTTGCAGACAATATTGAATTTATTTATTTTTTTGCCAAAACATTGTTTGCATAAAAAAGGAAACAGCAATTTACTCTGACTACCACGTCTATTTCAGCGCATGAAAAACAGTTCGACGCATTCGCAACTTCTTAAAGGGGACGATCCAGTAGGACTGATTGAGAAGTTGCTAATGATTTATTTGCGGTATCGCGAGCACCTGAACAATAGTGTAGTTGTCAGCAATTTTGAAATTACGTTAATTAAGAGCCGGTGAAGCTGATGTATAACGGAAAATGTATTTTTAAGGATTGTGTATTTATATCTTAACACATAGTATGACTACAAACTAAAAAATATATAGCAGGTATGCAATAAAGAATGATAACACATGGACATAATTTGCATAAAGCAAGATTAGCAGCGGTCCTTTAAGAACATTACAAAAAGAGGACGCGAGTGACATTCCCAACCATGAAATCAATCCAAATTACACATTATTTTTTTTAAATGATACAACTTTAAATGTATAATCACATGAAACATCCTGCATTTTTATAGAATGCCTTGTCTTGCCCGATTCGGCGCTACGCAATTCCACAACTTAACATAGCCACTTTAGCAATGAAATTAGGTCATTGCAACCATTATTTACTTTTTATGGGCGGGAGGTCGTGGGTTTGAACACCGGCCGAGTCATACCAACGACTTTTTAAAAAATGGTACTAACTCGGTAGGACATCATGCCACATGTATATGGCCATAGAACACAATTAATTTTACTACATAGTCTCTACATTTGTTTCTCAGTACTGAACTTTCCCCTGTGTGTTAATCAATACAAATCATATGTTAATCTAAAATACCTTCAAAGATAAATTACGGTGAAGTTCTTGTCAAGGGTTGACCTGCATTTTTTTGAGAGGCTGAATTGTAAACAAAACACCAGGCAACAGAACACAGATTTCACTTCCGGATCATCACCATGACCTTATTATTCAAGGTGCACTGTCGCCGAAATGCACACAGACAACCACACCATAAGCTCACATTCTAAAGAATAAATAATTGCCTTTAAATTCTTACCAAGAATGCCAAAATCTAACTCTTGTATCACCACCAAACTTAGACAGGAAAAAATGATCTAAAAATAGACTGAGACCACATTCGTGGGTACTGAACCGAATTTTATTAATTGTGTTCTGATGCCATATGGCATGATGCCCCAGTGCTAGACATCACTATAAACTGTCATTGCAGACATCGTAGCGATATGACTATAAAATTGTTAAAGCTACTTTAAAAATCTAAATCACACACACACACACACACACACACACTTTTTATCTTCATACAAATATAAGTGATACAAGTAAAGAAACATGTCAAGTTTTATGACCCTGTGTGCAACAGAGTCTAACAAGCGAGCGACATGCATATACCCCAAAAAAGATGGCATTTATTAGAGCATGAAGAATACATGTAGAGATTTCTAACGTGAGCACAACCATCAAAGTTTAGGACTGTTTATACAAAAGTATATCTCGTCACGTGGGTATCTATGGCCTAATGTTACCGAGTATTATAAGTAATTCCAAAGAGAACGTCCCATTTAGCAATAAATCAATGTTACACAAAATGCGGTCCGATATGTCCACGCACCTAAGAGTCCCTGGCGCACATTGCTCAAGTAACTATGATCGCTAAATGAATCTAACTACAATCGCCTCTGACTTTAGTTGCAATCATTTATAATGAAAATGCATCAGTTCGGCATTTTAGTCGACGCCCACCACAATCCCCGTCCCGTCACACCAACAAAATCTAGTTTATCTCCATTGGCACTATCAGCTCCAGGTCTGATTTGGATATGATGATATTATTCATCATTGGAAGTACATTTATTTTATTTTTTATTTATTTTATATTTTATTCTTTTGTTTTAAATGGATATTATGTTTTTAAAATTACTATTTTCATAGTATGGCGAATCACCCACCCACATGAAGCGGTAAGGGGACATAATTCCGATACAAATATACTCTTGTCGGGTAAACTGTTCTCTATACATCGTCCGTGCTAGATACCTTGTTTCTCTTTACAATGCCCATGCCGGGTACATGCTGTTCTCTTGCATATCTCGTGCTGGGTACCCAAGTAATAGTTGCACCAATTGTTGGTAACATATTTTGCTCTCGTTATTTTCCCAAGCCACCGACTGTCCGTATCAAATTAGTTGGTGTTAGTGTAAAGTGACATATTCAGTAAAATTTCGCAATATATATATATATATATATATATATATATATATATATATATATATATATATATATATATATATATATATATATATATATATATATATATATATATATATTGGTGTCATATATAATAGGGATAAAATTCAATGTTAGTGTTCTTTAGCGTGGCAAAGCTGTGAAAGTTGAGGTGTAATGCTGGAGAGATCAATCTGCAAATCTTAGCCTCCCCACAAAATGCATGTTCAATTATCTCTTTATCAAGTTTGGTTGACGTTCTTTGGTGGAATTGTGGATAAAGAGGTGGATTAAGAGTGAGGCATTGTACTTATCATATATAAATTTTATGGTAAATTTTATGTTTTTACTGTAATATTAGCTATATAGATTTCATTTTTTAAAAAAACTGGATATTTTCTCACAAAAAAGGCAGTGGCTCAGCCAGACGGAAGTCTCGTTTCAAGCTTATGCTACCATGTTTTCCAATCTGATTCAGATCAGATCTCCATTTGCTATACATGAACATCTAAAAGCGACCGCTTAGGAATCATGTTTTGGTAGTCTCTATTATTACCATAATCGCTAATTTTATCAAACCAATCAGATGAAATGTTATATCTTCGCGTTGGAGACTGAGCAGCGTGGATGAAGAACATTAATGTGTATCGAACAATTCGATTCACTTTAAGATTCTTGAAAGATGCATTTCCATTGACTAATTTCAAGGTCACAAGAACGTGACCCTTAAGATCTTAAGAGTATCAGATCTTCACGAAGGTCAGCGGAGATCTGATTTTAATCCGATTACCATGTTTTCACGACGCTTTCTTTAATTAAAG